TGGGTGCCAGTGTGGTAGAGAGAGAGAGAGAGAGAGAGAGGGAGCAGAAAACGGTGATGGGGTGAGGAGGGATATCACAGAGGGGGGAGGGAGGGGGAGGGAGAGGGAGAGAGCAGCTGACCTCCAACTGACCAATTGGGAGCTCCTGTCGGCCCTTTTCCTTTCGTTGACGGGAGGAAAAGCGGTGGTGGCAGCGGAGGAGATGGTGGGACTACAGCGTCCTCCCCCCTCCTCCTCCCCCCTCCCCCCTACACACTGGCTCCCCTCCTTTCCTATTTCCCTTCTTCACTCCCCGCTCCCGTTCTCTTTCTTTTTTCTTTTTCCAATTCCCCTTCTCCCTCCTCTTCTTCTTCTTCTTCCTCCTCTTCTTCCCAGAGAGATTGCGCAATCACTTCAGAGTCCTCGGCGCGTAAAATTGATTCTTCCTCTCCCCGTGTCTTCCTCCGTCTGTTCTAACACCTATTAAAAGTCTCCCTCTCTCTCCCCCCTCTCTCCCCCCTCTCTCTCCCACCCTGGGGGCCGCGGTGTGGTGGTGGAGCAGCACCAGAGGCAAAGCAATCATAAAACATCTTCGCAGATAAAACCGACCGCCTTCAAATGAATCTGGAGCGCGTAAATCATGCACGCGCACGGGCCGCGAGTGTGTGTGTGGTGAGGATGTACAGCGTGTATTATAATGAGGGAGTGTGTAATTGAGGTGTTTGTACATGTGTGTGTAATTGTTGGGCGGGAGATTTATGTCCGTGTGTGTGTGTGTGTGTGTTCTAACTTTTTTATTATTATTATATTTTTATTGTATTTTTTATTATTATAAATGTAACAGTAAAATGTGTGATAGTAATAATATAATTTCAGGGTCGTAATCTCACAGATGTTCATCTCTCCAATATTTGTATTTTTATTTATTTTATTTTATTTTTTTAGTTGACGGTTCAATTCCAGGTCCCGGCCGGTGAGCGTCGGGAAGCGGAAAGTTTCAAAGAAAAGAAGAAGATCAACGTGAGTGCAGTGAATTATTTTTATTTTCTCTTCCTGACACTGATTGCGTTGACATTTAAGAGGGAAAAAAAAGAAAAGAAGAAGAAAAGAAACAGACTTTTTCCTTTTCTCATTTTTCTAAAACTCTGTTTTTTTATGGCAATATATTTACCCCCCCACACACACACACACACTGTTTTTACATATATAAATACACATTTAAACGTTAGCATACGATATTGTAAATATAGTATATACAATACAAATTACAAAAATGTAAATTACTATTTTTAAAAATTAACTAAATATTTAATTTCCATTATTGACGTCAGTGTTTTTTAACATAATGGTTTTTTTTTGTTTGTTTTTAAATATTTTTTCAGCAGTGCAGTAATTTAAGTACCAAAAAACAAACGAAAAAAAAGTCACAGTAAATACTGTGATACTTCAACACGGACAGAAACTTTTATTACTGTGATGATGACGTAGTCAGGCTCGTTATCACCTCAGAAAAACATCTTCAATTCGGATGTTAAAAATGGGTCAATCCGACACACACAAATACTACTACTATAAATACTACTACTACTACTACTACTACTACTACTACTACTACTACTACTGCTGCTGCTTCCGCGGCGGCGGCGGCTAAAATACTTACAGTAAAACCCACTTCATCCTATTTTTACTTTAATTCCACGGTGACAGAAATGACGTCACTGAATATTGTTTAGCTCCACTTTCTTTGCACAGAAAAAGTCTCTAAAAATTTTGAAAATTAAAAAAAAAAATCCCTGCTTTTCATTCTCACTTCCAAACAAGCTCAGTTTCTGTCGCTGAGGTCGTAAAATAATCGCGGTCGTAAATAAATCGTCTCTTCTTTGTGTCTTCTCCACAGACCGTGACTTGTCTACTCACTGGTCAAACTGCAGACCGACGGACACACGGACAAAGACTCTATTTTTACTTTAACTTTATACTCCACACATTCCTCTGCCTCCCCCCTCTCTCCCCCCTCTCTCCCCTCTTCCCTGTGGCAGGGGAACAGAATAAGTCGAATCTCTGGTCTGTGGAGGATCACACGGACAGATGAGGAATCTCCCTTTCTTACTTTCATTTCTGGACACTCTTCTCCCGGCCCTGCCTCACCCCTGACCCCCTCCACGTCTCCCTCTTCTCCCTCTCTCCCTCCGCTCCGTTTCCTCTCCGCTTTGTGGGAACGGGAAGCTGCAGCATTGTGTTGGAGCTGACCGCGGTTTAATCATTAATGAGAGCCCAGAAAGTCGAGGCAGGACAGGAACGGCCTTTACACCCCCCCCCCCCCCCCACCCCCCCCCCCACCCCCCCCCACCCCACTCACATACTTCAGGAACAGCCATTACTCCATACACATATACTTTATCAGCTCAGATACAGCAGCGTGGACGTGAAGTGATGGTGGATTTTTTTTTTTTTTTTGTGTGTCTGCAGGGG